TAAGCTAGTTCAACCATTGTGGAAAGCAATATGGAGGTTCCTCAAAAAACTAAAATTAGAAATACCATTTGATCCGGGAATTCCACTCCTAGGAATTTACCCAAAGAAAACAAGTTCTCAGATTCAAAAACACATATGCCGCCCTATATTTATTGCAGAACTCTTTATAATAACCAAGTTATGGAAGCAAGCTAAGTGTCCATCAGTAGATGAATGGATAAAGAAGAGGTGGTACATATACACAATGGAATACTATTCAGGCATAAGAAACAAATCCTACCATTTTCGACAACATGGATGGAGCTAGAGGGTATTATGCCCAGTGAAATAAGTCAGGCAGAGAAAGACAAATGCCAAATGATTTCCCTCATTTGTGGAGTATAACAACGAAGCGAAACTGAGGGAACAAAACAGCAGCAGACTCACATACTCCAAGAAGGGACTAGTGGTTACCAAAGGGGAGGAGTGGGGGTGGGGAGGGAGGAAGAAGGGCTTGTGGAGTATCATGACTGGTGCACATATTGTGTGTGGGGTCATGGGGAAGACAGTGTAGCTCAGAGAAGATAAATAGGGACTCTGTGGCATCTTACTTTACTGATGGACAGTGACTGCAATGGGGTATGGGGGAGGGACTCGATAATAGGGGTGAATGTAATAACCACATTGTTTTTCTTGTGAAACCTTCATAAGAGTGTATATCTATGATATCTTAATTTTAAAAAAATGAAAAGAAACCTGGAATGAAACTGGATTATTGTCTAACTCCATACACAAAAGTAAACTCTAAATGAATCAAAGACCTTAATGTAAGTCATGAAACCATTAAACTCTTTGAAGAAAATATCTCCAAAGATCTCTTGAATATAAACATAAGCAATTTTGTCTGGAACACATCTCTTTGGGCAAGGGATACGAAGGCAAAAATGAACAAGTGGGACTAGATCAAACTAAAACACTTCTGTATAGCAAAGGACACCATCAGTAGAACAAAGAGGCATCCTACAGTATGGGAGAATATATTCATAAATGATATATCCAACAAGGGGTTAACATCCAAAATATATAAAGAACTCACACATCTCAATAACGAAAAAGCAAATAAGCCTATTAAAAAGTGGGCAGAGGATATGAACAGACACTTCTCCAAAGAAGAAATTCATATGTCCACCAGGCACATGAAGAGATGCTCCACATTGTTATTTATCATGGAAATGCAAATTAAAAGCACAGTGAGGTATCACCTCACACCAGTTAGGATGGCCAACATCCAAAAGAGAAGGAACAACAAATGCTGTTAAGGATGCAGAGAAAGGGGAACCTTCCTACACTGTTGGTGGGAATGTAAATTAGCTCAACCATTATGGAAAGCAATATGGAGGTTCCTCAGAAAACTAAAAATAGAAATACCATTTGACCCAGGGATCCCACTCTCAGGAATTTACCCAAAGAAAACAAGATCCCAGATTCAAAAAGACACATGCACTCCTATGTTTTTTGCAGCACTATTTACAATAACGAAAATATGGAAGCAACCTAAGTGTCCTTCAGTAGACAAATGGATAAAGTAGACATGGCACATATACACAATGGAATATTATTCAGCCATAAGAAGAAAACAAATCCTACCATTTGCAACAACATGGATGGAGCTAGAGGGTATTATACTCAGTGAAATAAGCCAAATGAAGAAAGACAAGTACCAAATGATTTCCCTCATTTGTGGAGTATAACAACAAAGCAAAGCTGAAAAAACAAAATAGCAGACTCACAGACTCCAGGAAGGGACTAGCATTTGCCAAAGGGAAGCAGGTAGGAAGTGGGGATGGGGAGGGACAGTGAAGGGGATTAAGCGGCATTATGATTAGCATGCATAATGTAGGGGTGTCATGGGGAAGGTAGTATAGTACAGAGAAGACAAGTAGTGACTCTATAGCATCTTAGTATGCTGATGGACAGTGAGTGCAATGGGGTGTGTGATGGGGACTTGATAATATGGGTGAATGTAGTAACCAGAATGTTGCTCATGTGAAACCTTCATAAGATTGTATATCAATGATACATACATACATGCATACATACATACATACATAAATAAATACATAAATACATACATAAATAAATAAATAAGCACTCAAACTGTGGAAATCAGTGCAGCCCTAGAGACTATGGGGTTGGCCCTGAAGTGTTCACTGAATTCCAAAGATTGTTCTCTACAGTGGGAAGCTTCATCTGGCTTCCAAAATATAAGATGCATTTTAAAAATTATATCTTCTATCATCATTTTAAAAAAAAACTACACAATATAAGATTCATCACATCTAGTTTAGCACTGTTACTTAATATTAGCACTGGGAATTCCTCCGTGCAAGAGAAAAAGAATCCTAGTAGCAGATTGGGAAGAAGTAATCAGGGAGGAAGGAAAAAAAGGTACTCTCAGTTTCATGAAAGCCAAAGATCATCGTGAATTCACTGCAGAAAGCAGAAACTCTTAAATTTAAAGAAAATCTTTAAAAACGATTAAGTATTTTAAAAAATTGATTAAATGCAGAGAATTATTTATATACAAAGTGATTGGAAGGTCTGAGACTGGGAGTCAGGACCAGCATTGGATGAATGAATTCAAGGCCAAACCTATGTAGGTAGGAAAGGAAATTGAGGTCAGGAAATTGTTGCTATTGCCATTGAGCCTTTTTGGAAGAGCCACAGCTGCCTTTCAACTTCTGCAAAGCTGAAAGTTTGTTTCTGGCCCACTCTTTAACCTTGCTTACTAGCAGAAATAACAGGGGAGGAAGGCCTCCTCCATTCTAAATTTCAGGGTATTGCATCTCTTTGGTGCAGCTCAATTTACAAATAGCATGGCACTCAAAGGGTAGTTCTCCAGACTAGCAACATTAATATCTCCTGGAAACTTGGTAGAAATAAAATTGTCAGGCCCCATGGCAAACTAGAAACTTTGGGATAGTTCTAACAATCTGATTTTAATAAGCCCTCCAGATGGTTTTGATGTGTGCTAAGGTTTGAGAACCATTGTCCTAGAGGACCACAGCTTGCACAAAGGAATCTAAGAAATTAGTTTTATTTCTAGTTCTGCAGAACCAGAAGACATCACAGAGGTAGGAATGGATGCAAAGTGCCAATAACCATGTCCAGCAAAAGAGCATGGAGAATGATGTCAAATGCTTCAGAGACGTGGAAAATGATGACAACTGAAAATTGTTGAATCTGACAGGAAATCATTGGTTACTTTTGAGATTAGCATTTCCTTGGTGGGGAATAGGGATGAGAGATGGTATGACGTAAAACTAGAATTACAGTGAATGAAGAATGAACACAGAGGATTCTTATCATGAGTGTGGCTGGACAACAAAGAGGAGAAATGGGCTTTAGGTTAAGCTCAAATCTTTCACTAATATTCAGGAACTTGTCTGTGCCCTCTACCACCTCTGTTGCATCTCAAGTGGTTTAGAGGATTCTGCAGCAGTTTGTGGAGTCTCTGCAGTTTGAACAGTTTCTGCAGTTTGTGGAGTGCTTTTTGGATGACTCGATCTCAAGTTCCAAGGGCCCATAAACTTCAGCTTAGTATACACCTGCAAGTTGGTATTTCTTTACAACTTAGTGTATTATTTACATTTTAATATGTGCCAGACACTACACTAGGCCCTTGACATATGTTATTTTTATTTCTTAAAACCACAGTATAAGATGGATAAGAAATATTAACTGGTTTGCTTTGGCCACAGTCTGTTTTATTCCTCCAAAATTTGAAGTCTTTCCACTCTTTCATACTTTCTCTATAAACTCTGCCTTCACTGAAATGTGTGTTTTTAAAGGCAATGTAATAGAAAAGCACATAAAGGTATGTTTTGAGGACATATAAGGCCCATTTCATTGTTTCAATTTCACAGAATATTCTAGAATTAGAAAAAATGCATTTTATACCATCTGGACTAAACATTTCATTTTGAATGATTGGTCTTCATATCACCTCTGATGTAAGGAATTACAGCATTCTAATTAATGCAATTTTTTTCAACAACCAAATCTGTTTTACTTTTTTCTGATTGTAAAGCTAATGATCTTTTCCAATGTAAAATCAAATTTGCCCTTTCCCCCCCTATTCTCTTACTAGTGCATCAGGATCATACACAGCCTATTAAGGAATTTGAACAAATCAGATTAAGTTAAAACTTAATTGACCCCTGAATGTGAGCAGTACTTCAATTTTCTTAATCTAGTGAACTTTCTTCTCAGATAGAAGAGCAGATATTTTTTAAATGCTACCCAAAGATAAATAAATTAGTCACCTGAAAGCTGTGCTCCCTGACTCTCCAATCTTTTTTGGCCTCTTCTTTCAAATGCAGCCTGTGACTCTCTAGTGTCCCTTCCCTTCTCACAAGTCATCACTCTAGCTTCTTTTCATAACTTTGTGATCTCTTTCTTTTATTTGCCTTAAAATATATATATATATGTATGTATGTATGTGTGTGTGTGTATATATATATATGTATGTATGTATGTATGTATATATATAAAATCAACTTAGGCCTCATTCTTTCTCCTGACTCTCCTTCAACCATCTCTCTGATCAGCATAAATAAGGTCAGAAAACAAGTGGTATAAACTTATGCTGCTCTTTAGAATAAAAGCTTTGTGAACATGCTCCCCTTTAAAATACATCTAAAAGCAAAACATCTATGACCAAAGCATCAGGTATTTCTTTTCTGCCAGGAATTATGAAATTCATTATTGGTATAATCTCCTCTTGTATCAAAATTTGAACAACTTTAATGTTGATGAGAATAAAATCACTTACTCCAAAATCTATAAGTTAATTTGATATGACTTTTTGAATGTACATAACATTGGAACATACTGTCAGGAGATTTTAAAGTCTTCATTTTATTGAATAATAATATGTAACTTAAATGCCCATAATTTAAAAGCATGAATTTTCTAAAACCAAAATTATAAATTAAGTAACACTTTCTCTCTCTCATTAGCTAAGAAATCTTCAAAACAAACTTTTCATAAGAGAAACTTCATTGCAAGAGATGAAAAGTGAGCTAAAAAATTACAAAGAAAATAACATGCAACAATCGTTCTGGATAATGTACCTGAAAGATAATATCAAGGACCTAGAGGAACTTATTGCTTCTCTAACCAGAATTAAATCTTTGAATAACACCAATATTCAGAGTCTTAAAAGGGGCAACTGGGATCTAATTGAAAGAATTAGAGGACTAGAAAATCGCCTAAGGTGGGGAATTTTCCAGATTGTGTCAAACATGTTATTTGTTATAAGCTTGCAAATATAGTATATGAACTCTATACTCCTGATTGATCACAGAATTCAAATCTAGTAGTATTTCACATCTGAAAAAATTATTATACAAGATTCTTTTTATTGAGATGTAGTTTACATGCCAGTAAAATTCACCCCTTTAAAGTGTACAATTCAGTAGTTTTTAGTATACTTACAAGGTTGCGCAATCACCACGACTAATATCAGAACATTTGTATCACCCTTCTAAAGAAGCCCCATGCTATTTAGCAGTTCCCCCCATTCTACCCTCTCCAGTCTCTGACAGCCACTGATCTACTTTCTTTATCTGCGGAATTGTCTTTCCTGGACATGTTATAATGAATGCAATCACACAATACATGGCCTCTGTGTCTGACTGACTCTCCTCAGTGCAATGTTTTCAAGATTTATCCACATTGTAGCATGAATGTAGTATTCCATTCCTTTTTTTTTAATTTTAGTATCATTAATCTACAATTACATGAGAAACATTATGTTTACTAGACTCCCCCCATCACCAAGTCCCCTGCACAAATCCCATTACAGTCACTGTCCATCAGCGTAGTAAGATGCTATAAAATCACTACTTGTCTTCTCTGTGTTTCACAGCCCGCCCCTTACCCCGCCCAACATTATGCATGCTAATCGTTATCCCCCCCTTTCTTTCCCCTCCCCCCTTATCCCTACTTTCCCACCCATCCTACCCAGTCCCTTTCCCTTTGGTAACTGTTAGCCTATTCTTGAGTTCTCTGATTCTGCTGTTGTTTTGTTCCCTCAATATTTTTTGTTCTTATACTCCACATATGAGTGAAATCATTTGGTATTTGTCTTTCTCTGACTGGCTTATTTCACTGAGCATAATACCCTCTAGCTCCATCCATGTTGTTGCAAATGGTAGGATTTGTTTTCTTCTTATGGCTCAATAATATTCTATTGTGAATATGTACCACATCTTCTTTATCCATTCATCTACTGATGGACACTTAGGTTGCTTCCAGTTCTTGGCTATTGTAAATAGTGCTGTGATAAACAGAGGGGTGCATCTGTCTTTTACAAACTGGACTGCTGCATTCTTAGGGTAAACTCCTAGTAGTGGAATTCCTGGGTCAAATGGTATTTCTATTTTGAACTTTTTGAGGAACCTCCATACTGCTTCCACAATGGTTGAACTAATTTACATTCCCACCAGCAGTGTAGGAGGGTTCCCCTTTCTCCACAACCTCGCCAACATTTGTTGTTGTTTGTCTTTTGAATGGTGGTGATCCTTCCTGGTGTGAGGTGATATCTCATTGTGGTTTTAATTTGCATTTATCTGATGACTACCAATGTGGAGCATCTTTTCATGTGTCTGTTGGCCATCTGAATTTCTTCTTTGGAGAAGTGTCTGTTCAGCTCCACTGCCCATTGTTTAATTGGATGATTTGCTTTTTGTTTGTTGAGGTGTGTGAGCTCTTTATATATTTTGGATGTCAACCTTTATGAGATCTGCCATTTATGAATATATTCTCCCATACTGTAGGCTGCCTTATTGTTCTATTGATGGTGTCCTTTGCTGTACAGAAGCTTTTCAGCTTGATACAGTCCCATGTGTTCATTTTAGCTTTTGTTTCTGTTGCCCGGGGAGATACGTTCATGACTCACCTCAAACCCAAAGACATACCCAGACTAAAAGATAAGGGATGAAAAAAGATATTTCATGCAAACAATAGGGAGAAAAAAGCAGGTGTTGCAGTACTAGTATCAGACAAAATATACTTCAAAACAAAGAAAATAACAAGAGATAAAGAAGGACATTACATAATGATAAAGGGCTCAGTCCAACAAGAGGATATAACCATTAGAAATATATATGTACCCAATACAAGAGCATCAACATATGTGAAACAAATACTAACAATTAAAGGAGGAAATAGAATGCAACACATTCATTTTAGGAGACTTCAACACACCACTCACTCCAAAAGACAAATTCACCAGACAGAAAATAAGTAAGGACACAGAGGCACTGAACAACACACTAGAACAGATGGACCTAGTAGACATTTACAGAACTCTACACCCAAAGGCAGTAGGATACACATTCTTCTCAAGTGCACATGGAACATTTTCCAGAGTAGACCACATACTAGGCCACAAAAAGAGCCTCAGTAAATTCAAAACGATTGAAATTCTACCAACCAACTTCTCAGACCACAAAAGTATAAAACTAGAAATAAATTGTACAAAGAAAGCAAAAAGGCTCACAAACACATGGAGGCTTAACAACATGCTCCTAAATAATCAATGGATCAATGACCAAATTAAAATAGAGATCAAGCAATATATGGAGACAAATTACAACAACAGTAGAAAGCCCCAACTTCTGTGGGACACAGAAGAAGCAGTTTTAAGAGGAAAGTATATAGCAATCCAGGCATATTTAAAGAAGGAAGAACAATCCCAAATGAATAGTCTAAAGCCACAAATATTGAAATTGGAAAAAGAAGAACAAATGAGGCCCAAAGTCAGCAGAAGGAGGGACATAATAAAGATCAGAGAAGAAATAAAATTAAGAAGAATAAAACAATAGAAAAATATCAAGGACATCAAGTGCTGGTTCTTTGAGAAAGTAAACAAAATAGATAAACCCCTAGCTGGACTTATCAAGAGTAAAAGAGGATCTACACACATCAACAGAATCAGAAACGACAAAGGAAAAATCATGACGGACCCCACCGAAATACAAAGAATCATTAGAGAATACTATGAGAATCTATATGCTAACAAGCTGGAAAACCTAGAAGAAATGGACAACTTCCTAGAAAAATATAATCTTCCAAGACTGACCGAGGAAGAAACAGAAAATCTAAACAGACCAATTACCAGCAATGAAATTGAAGCAGTAATCAAAAAACTACCCAAGAGCAAAACCCCCAGGCCAGACGTATTTACTGTGGAATTTTATCAGACATACAGAGAAGACATAATACCCATTCTCCTTAAAGTTTTCCAAAAAATAGAAGAGGAGGGAATTCTTCCAGACTCATTCTATGAAGCCAGCATCACTCTAATACCAAAATCAGGCAAAGATCCCACCAAAAAAGAAAATTACAGACCAATATCCCAGATGAACATAGATGCAAAAAATACTCAACAAAATATTAGCAAACCAAATTCAAAAATACATCAAGAGGATTATACACCATGACCAAGTGGGATTCATCTCAGGGATGCAAGGATGGTACAACATTCAAAAATCCATTAACATCATTCACCACATCAACAAAAAGGACAAAAGTCACATGATCATATCCATAGACGCTGAAAAAACATTCAACAAAATTCAACATCCATTCATGAAAACAACTCTCAACAAAATCGGTATAGAGGGCAAGTACTTCAACATAATAAAGGCCATACATGATAAACCCACAGCCAACATCATACTGAACAGTGAGAAGCTGAAAGCTTTTCCTCTGCGATCAGGAACAAGACAGGGATGCCCACACTCCCCACTGTTATTCAACATAGTACTGGAGGTCCTAGCCATGGCATTTAGACAAAACAAAGAAATACAAGGAATCCAGATCGGTAAGGAAGAAGTCAAACTGTCACTATTTGCAGATGACATGATATTGTACATAAAAAACCCTAAAGAATCCACTCCAAAACTACTAGAACAAATATCTGAATTCAGCAAAGTTGCAGCATATCCAGATGTGTCTTGCTTTTTTATTCATTCTATTACTCTGTGTCTTTTGATTGGTGCATTCAGTCCATTTACATTTATTATTGAATTATCGGTGAATTAGGGTGATTATTGAAAGATATGTACTTATTGCCATTGCAGACTTTAGATTTGTGGTTACCAAAGGTTCAAGGGTAGCTTCTTTACTATCTACCCATCCAACTTAACTTGCTTATTAAGCTTTTATAAGCACAGTCGGATGATTATTTCTCTCTTTTCTTATTCTTCCTCCTCCAGCCTTTATATGTTAGGTGTTTTATTCTGTACTCTTCTGTGTTCCCTTTGACTGCTTTTGTGAGTAGTCGATTTTATTTTCTGCCTTTAGTTAGTGTTTGGTTGGTCTGCTTTCTTTGCTGTGATTTTATTTTCTCTGGTGACATCTATTTTGCCTTAGGAGTGCTTCAATCTAGAGCAGTCCCACTAGAATACCCTGTAGAGGTGGTTTGTGTGAGGCAGATTCCCTCAACTTTTGCTTCTCTGGGAATTGTTTAATCCCTCCTTCATATTTAAATGATAATCATGCTGGATACAGTATCCTTGGTTCAAGGCCCTTCTCTTTCATTGCATTAAATATATCATGCCATTCTCTTCTGGCCTGTAAGGTTTCTGTTGAGAAGTCTGATGATAGCTGATGTGTTTCCCTTTATAGGTGACCTTTTTTCTCTCTCTGGCTGCCTTTAATACTCTGTCCTTGTCTTTGATCTTTGCCATTTTAATTGTTATGTGTCTTGGTGTTGTCCTCCTTGGGTCCCTTGTGTTGGGAGTTCGGTGTGCTTCCATGGTCTGATAGGCTATTTCCTCCCCCAGTTTGGGGAAGTTTTCAGCAATTATTTCTTCAAATACACTTTCTATCCCTTTTACTCTCTCTTCTTTTTCTGGTGCCCCTATAATGTGAATATTGCTCCATTTGGATTGGTCACACAGTTCTCTTAGTGTTCTTTCATTCCTGGAGATTCTTTTATCTCTCTCTGCCTCAGCTTCTCTGTGTTCCTGTTCTCTGGTTTCTATTCCATCAACGGCCTCTTGCACCTCATCCAGTCTGCTCTTACGTCCTTCCAGAGATTGTTTTATTTTTGTATTCTCCCTCCTAACTTGATCCTTTAGCTCTTGCATATTTCTCTTCAGGTCCATCAGCATGGGTATGGCCTTTATTTTGAATTCTTTTTCAGGAAGATTGGTTAAATCTATCTCCCCAGGTTCCCTTTCAGGGGTTGTCTGTGTTATTCTG